TCTAGAATCCTTACCCCATCGTTTTATTAATTTCTTTGATTGATGAGTAAATGTACCAATAAAGCTATGTTAGCAACATTTGAAAACTAGAAATTTTCACCCCGGAGTAATAGAAACATATTTGCATCGGACAATGAACTACAGATTTGATTTTAGAGAATTGATAAAATAATCTGGCTCTACTCCTCGTCTGCTGCCAGCTAGTCATCTGAAATCCTTTAATGCGGTCTATGATGTTATACATTTATTCACGAAAATACTAGGAATACCCTAAATTATTTTTGTTAATGAGTATCTCATTCATATTTTTCTTGACTTGACAGTGAGGTTTATAAAACTATGTTAAATATTTGTTCAAGATATTGCAAAAGTTTTTTCTTTCTGCATCGAGAAAATCTGTAGGAAGAAGATGATTACACTTGCGTTAGAAATCGTTTTATATTTGTGTAATCTAATTATGATATAGCATTGTCTTCTTTTCTTCAAAAACAACCATTGGACCCTTGCTCTAACATCCACTTGCATGCACGTCTGTCGAGATTCGATTTACGTTTTTGATCGCGTTTCTAGATAATGAGGAAATGTGCATTCACCCATTTCCTAGTAAAAGTTTGACAGTAAGGGGAGGTTCCGGAAGGAAGGATTGCGTGTACTGGGTTGTCCTTTGTTGAAGGTACTGCTCCATCATCTGTCTGGATCTATTAGGTTACCTCACAAAAGTCGACCGTTGCACTGGTCTTTAGAAATTTCATCCAGGTAGCGTTGTCTGATCCAGCTACATGTAGATCTACGATTTAACTGTCTACCACTACGGAAACTGTTACGAATCCTTGAATTCGAGCCCCGACGATGGAGGATTTTTGAGAGTTGGTAGATAGGTGGGTAAAATTCAACAACTATCTGAAGGAGAATTCTAGCGACCGGCTGCTTTGATCGATAGTTTTCTGTGATTCCTCTGTTCAACACCAGGCGAATGCCGGCGCAGTAACCTAACAAACGGGCCATGGTCCTCGTGCGATCCACGCGTCCTCGTGCGATCCACCATACACCATGGGAGACAAGTCAGCAACTTTGAGTTTTTCGTGGCTGGGGCGGGGCACCGCTGGGGGGAAAAACCCAAAACCGACTTGTAGGTCGGTCCCGGATCTAACATTTCAGCAGAGCAAGAATGTAGCGACTTCTAAGGCAAATAACAACTTCTAAGACAAATGCATTACCCTCATGGGACCAATAACCTCGGTAGCCGCGCTAGAAATCAATTTCACTTTTTCTCATCCGTTATAGGAAGGTTCGTCTCCGGACTGCATCTTCATTTGTCCCCAACGACAAGATAAGCGAGCACGGCACGCCTCGTCCCGGAAGTCCCTATCACCCGCCCCAGGAGGCGCGCGTTCGCCACTTTCGGGCAGCGCGTTTATTTTCTATCGCCATCAGGGCCCCTCGGCGGCGCTTCCGGGAAGCGGGGCGGGGGGGCGGAGGCGGAAGAGCTTTTGGACCGCCACCAGAACTGATCAAGGAGGCTTAGGGCGGCTCGCCGCCCCGCCGCCGCCCCTCCCTTCACTCCCCCTCCCTCCCCACCCAACCCTCCACAAACCGCCAGGCGAGCCGCGGCTGTTTTGCTCGCGCGCCGCCGAAGCACCTGCGCGGACAAGCGCCGCGGGGCTGCGGCGGAAGGGGCTCACGAAGTGACGAAGAGTGCGACGGAAACAGAGCGAAAGCGGGGGAGGCGGAGGGGAGGGCACACCGCGGCGGTGGTGACGGGTGGCGCGAACGAAGGGGCAGTGACCGAGAAGGAAGACTGAGGAGGCGGGGGAATGGTGATGGGGATAACGGACAATGTGTTTTAGAAGTAAAAGGGACGTTAGAATACGAAACGGGTGGGTGGAAAGGGCTTATACACGACTTTGGGATTAAAAAGGACAGTGGACAGTGGCGGGGTGGAATTGAAGCCTGAGTGTTGAGTTGGTTAATGAATTGTCGGTTGGGTGGTTTTTATAGGAGATGGGAATTGAAGTAACTCCGTCTGGATTGTAACTACAGGAAATCAGCTTTTTGAAAATGAAGGAGAAAGCTACAAATACTGAGCAGCAACGGCAAACATTGTTTTCAAGGGGAACAGATCGGCTATTTCAGGGCAGGTAGAAAGTCGAGAGAATAAGTGCGATGATTAATTTAGGCAACAATTAAAATAACAGACTTTATGACTTTCGAAGTAAAGCAATCTGGAATGCAATTGTAACAGATGGGCCGGGTGATGACTTGATATTTCAATGATCTCGACAAAACTCACAGTATGTGCTATGTTGGTAAAAAATTAGTAAGAATAAATATAAAGGGTATTTGAAGAATAAATGATCCATGTGTTTCGATAAAATGGAACGACGGATCTAAAGCCATTCAACAGCTTAATATTCACTTGACACTATTATAAAATAAATGATCATTCTTAAGAGTATTCTAGTGATTCAGAAGGCTCACAGACGAATCGACGCAACAGGGCATTCTAGGGTGTATTGGTAAGCGGAAAGTTCTAGTGTTCATAAAAATGTAGAAAATGTGAAGGAAGAAAGCGCAAGTTTTCTTATGGCAGAGCAATGATATAATAGTTGTGATAGGGAATAAGCAAGAGGCAGCGTGACCGGGTTCCAGAAAGATGTTATCAATGGTACATTAGAATTCATTTCAATTATACCTTTACGTGGCGAGCCTCAGACACCACGTCTGCACTTTCGCCTGGCCACGCAAATTTCACTACGTTTTTTTTCTTTATCATGAAGAAGGCATTGCCCCGGCGCAACGAAACAGACGATTGTAATTTATCTCAGAGGCATGTTGTAAGCGAACATACTTTTACATGTTTAAATCTTCAGTCTGGGTCAGCCGGTTTTACTTCCTCTCCGAAGGAAGGCTTACGAAGTATATTTTCGCCCTTAAATATCCACGACTTCCATCGGATTTGAATACCCTAACATGAGTATAAGGTTTGATACTACTCTGAGAGTTCACTGTCGGAGCCGAAACAAGGCGTTCGCTATGAAAGATATGAACGACTAAACGAGAGACGATACCGTGGAAGATTATTAATTAGAAATTTTAGACAAGAGTGATCAATCGTTGAAAACAACATCCATTACTACCGTTATTCATCATTTCGCTAACAATAGGAAAAGAGAGGTTGTATGAATGCCGGAGCTCTCAACAAAGCGTTTGCAAGTTTTACTTTTCCCCATATAAAACATTTTCGTATTGTTTTTGAAGAAATGAATTAATTTTTGCCTTAAATAAATAAACAAGGATTGACACTGAAGTGGTGTTCATCAGACAAAAATAATTATAAACGAGGATTCACTGGTCAATTATATTATAAGGCGTGATTAAAAGTTAGTGGAGTTTACTCTGATTTCACTTTTCATTATTACTTGCATGAATAAATGCCACATGAATGGCACGAAATACTTGCGCACGGCACTCGAATGATAATCTGGAAGTTAACCGGTGTCACAATATACAGGCAGCCTTGAACATAGCCGCAGTTTTTTTCTACCAAATTTATTGACTTCCTCGAAAGAAACCACTTCATTTCTCTGGCAACACTATCTTTTTGCTTGCCGCGGTGACGAAAGGGCTCGGAATTATGTTCAAGTGTAGGGAGTTGAACGCTTGGGGGTCGAGAGGGCACGGGTGCTTTCCTCTTGAATGTTGCACTCCTATTTTTGGTTCAATTGTATTATTAAATAATATTAAATGGGTGTATTATTAAAGTTATATGGGTCATGGATGTAATATTGTTTCGATTAAGGCAAGAATAACTGGAGGCTTTTTCATGAGTTTAGTATGTATACGTCAAGTTCATTTAAATTCTTAAATTGCTTATTTTTCTGTTACTGAGAATATGTTATATTAGGTGTACACAGCGTGATTGGCATATCATACCACGTCGTATCACGTGTGAATCTTCATCCCATTCACAATTACTCATCTCTTCTCACTATTCACTTTTCGTGATCGTCCTCTGATCCACACAGAGGAAAGCAATGGCAACCCCCCCCCCCCATCTTGTACCCTGGAAAGTGCATCAAGTCTTAAGCCTCCTCGTTCGCCTTCTTTCTGGAGCGGAGTATGGCATTCATCATCACTAGCGTTGTTTAGGCGATTCTCTGTCATTGCTCGAGATCAACTACTTTTTTCATTACTCCCTCGAGTGCAACAAATGTTACGGCAGAATGTGGTGATGTCCCTGGACCCCCTGGACCCTAAGATCCTGCGCCGATCTGCACGTCCGCTTGCGGAGTTTTTCTCTTCAACGTGTTTCCCTTAGTGGGACTCCGCCCAAGCTCTGATCTCCCGGCTGGTCTCCCAACATAGTACTAGTGCCATGCCTGTAAGTGGAAGGAGAGTGTGTGTGTGTGTGTGTGTGTGTGTGTGTATGCAAGGAAAGAAGAGAGAACAAGGGCACGGAAGGAAAGATCTCACGCGGTCCGTGCCCCGTTTGTTAGGATGCTGCTACAGTAATTGATCAGAGGAACTATGGAAAACTATCAATACGAGCAGCCGGCTGCTATTCACTGTCAGTCAGCGGCTCAATTCCATCTAGCTAGCTGGTTTGTTTCGAAAATCCGCTAACGTCTGGACCCGAATCCTAGGACAGAGACGCTGCAGCAACAATGAACATCACCACTGAGCTATCTCAGCTGGCTCTACGTTCGAGTACAATATATATGACACAGAGGCGGCGGTACGTCCGAGAACGTCGATTGCGACAGCGGGTGTCCGAGAGGGCGGAGACGATGGAGATGACGGAGACGGCGGAACGCTGGCGACGGCGCGGCAGGCGGCGGAGGGCAGTTGGAGGGGCAGCGGAGGGCGGCGGGCGCGGGGCGGGGGCGGCGGGCGGGGGCGGAGAGACGTTGCGGTCGCCGCCGCGGCTATTCGCGACAGGTCACGGCGTTCGCGCGGTCGCCTCGCAGTCTGACCTCGCCCCACGCGATTCGCTTTTGCAGTTGCAGGTTCCCGGCCGCGCCCGCTCGCCAGTCGCTTCCCCGCTGCCGCTGCTGCTTCTGCTGCCATGGCTACCGGGAATTTAGGTGAGTGTTGGTGGATGGATTCATTCAAATCTGTTGTTCCCATGTTGCTTGCTCGTTTTGCATTTTCAATGAGTTGTTCATTTAATTAAACAGTTATGGGGTAAGAGTATTGTTAATTGTTATCCGCTCTGATAAAACTAAACAAGTTAGAGATATAGCAGTTTTAATTCATTCCAAAGATTTTATTATAAAACTTGTGAATTTTATTTAGTAAGATGTGATATACGTTTTTGTCTTCCCTTGGCGTTTCTCAAAGACGTTTGCCTATTTCTTCAAATTGATAGACACTGACATAAAAAACTCTTACATGTCTTTTTTTATTTTTTTTATTTTTATTAACAGTCGTTGATTGTATACATACCTTGTCCACTTCTTGTCGATACAAGTATATACCGATAATATTGTGTTGATGTATGTTATATACGTAGTATGTTGTAGTGTTTTTTTTGCATGCACTACACACCAACAGCTCTTTCTGACTACAATTATTAATACCTACTATAACCTATTAATCAAAATTCTCCATACTTCTAATATTTTAGTGTGGTTATTACATATGTCTTCCAAAAATATTTCACAATTTTAACCGAATCCGAATATTTTTACTTTTTAAAAAAGATAATTTTGAATTCTGGATTAATACTTAGGAAATACAGTAATATTTTAGATTAGGTTTCGCAAGAAAAGTAATTTTGTTGAGTTCAATGAGGGCACCACTGGATGTTATTAGACATAAAATATTACTTCTAAATTCATGATATGAACAATAAATGATTTGGAACCAATGCTATCTTTGAAATTAACACATTAGTGAAACATATCTCAATCCATTATTCTCAACATTAATAGAACCCAATACAAATTTGACCTGAAAATACGAATTGCAAAATTTTCAAAAGCTTCGGTTACCTTTCCACAATGTTTACAATTTTGCATATATCATTTTTGAAATTTTTTCGTACTTCATTGTATATTTTCGTTACACAGTTTTTACTTGGCAGAATGTCAACAGATGAAGGAGAGGGATTCTGAATTAGTTTTGAGAGCGACAGTACCATAATCGCAAATGAGGAGTATCTGGAAATGGATATTTGCTGAAGATGATTATTCTTTGGGACTTAATTCTAATCAACTTTTTTGATTCAATACAATTTTTTGTGGCAACTAAAACTGATCGATAATTAAGATATGTGGTGCAAACAATTGAGTTATTTAGTATTTTGGAGTAAATGGAATCGTTTTTCACTTCCAGAAACCTTACTAATATTTGGTACGACTTTTTATTAAAGTTAATTTTTTATTTGTTTTTCATAAAAGGGAGTCTCGGAGATACGGCGCGTCGTAGAAATTATGAACAAGTTACTACTTTTTTATTGTAGTGATCGTAAGGAAGGGGAAAATGTAAACAAGGTGCTTACTGCGAAAACAATGTAAATATATGACATGGCTTCATTGTCGCTCCGTATTAATTAGTCCCAGTTTGCCTGGATTCTTGGCACCTAATTAACTCCAAATTCTTAGAAATATCGAAGGTGTTTTATATATGCAATTATATTTATCCCAATTAACACAGCATATTTAACCGCCATAGGTGGACAGTGACAATTAAAGGAGAGTTTAACGATTTGAGAAGACAAAAATTCCATCAAAAAAGTAAAATTCAGACTCTAGTCTGAATAAATTGCAACTTACAACTGTAGCGAATTATTTTAATTTATAAAGAGCTTTTTAGAAGAGAGCCGGGTGGGGACTGACTGTGTCTACACATGTCAGAATACGTGAACCCCGGGTTTCTCGAATTTGTACTTCATACATTATTAATGATTATATTTTATATTACGCCGTTTTAGACCCACGAATGCAAGACAACTTCAGTATATGTATGAAAAGAAAGGACGCTCTTTGAAACTTAAATTTTAATGTTTCAGCAAAATAGAATTTCATTCCTTTCAACATTATTTAACTATCAGTTGACAATAAGATCAGTTTTCGAAAACAATAATATATTCTTTTATTTTTTGATTACCAATTACCATGATTGTTATGTTACAAATGATTGATTTGTACTCTATGAAGTTAATTCATAATCTCTTACTACAGGATCCCATAAATAAATGCCAATACATGAGAAAAGTTTTTTCAGATAAATATTGATCGCGCTCTGAGCATAGGTTGAGTTCTTGATCACTCAAATTGCGTACATGTTTTAGTAAATGCTGTACAGAGAGAACCTGCTCGTTAAGGAAAGCACGGCTGAACACCTACATTTTCAAAATGTATACATTAAAAAAAATATTTGGACTGTCTCTACCTGAAAAATTACTGTGTTCCGACTGTGTGTCTCACTGGTAACGCAGTTTCGGTACGAATGTTAACAGAGAGGCACTAGGTTCGATTTCAGACTGTGGCGGATTTTCGATACTAACAACATAGATGGTTCGAATTCAGCCAGTCTGGAGGAGAATTCTAGGGTCTGGCACTTCTGATAGGAGTTTTCCGTGCTTTCTCCAGTCAATATCAGGCAAAAACTAGAACCGATCCCTAAGAAACCGGCCACGGCCCTCTCACACTTACATGCAGTACACTACCATACATGTAGGGAGCTTAGAGCTGGTTTCGACTGGGACCGTGCCCTGCTGGGAAATATACCTGGAACAGGGAAACCTGCAAGCGAATGTGTAGGTCCGTGCCGGGTCTCACGTTCCAGTGGGAAACAAACACCACCGTCTCCTGGGATTTAACATGATTTACAGTCATGGAACTAATGACCTTAGGAATTGAGCGTCCGGAATTAATTCCGACTTATTCATGACAGCGCACCAACCTTTTTCATAGGTTTAATTTGCTGCTGTTGGGATTTTTTTTCGATGATGGAAATACCACGCCCTGAAATTAGATTCGATTTAAATAAATGTCATCAGTGTAGCACGATCTAGAAAGTCTGTCCGTCTTGATGGAAACATAGTTCCAGCTCACCGAGTCTTTGGCGAGTTTTTCAAACCCATTCATTTCACAGAAAACTTTCATCTTGCAATCTGCAAGTAATGAAGCAATTTAAAAAATTAAATCAACAACAACGTTTTCGCGTGTCATTAGGGATGCAAAAATAAGCTCTCTTATTTCATTTTAAACTTCCTGGCCACGCCAATATTCCACTTCTTCTCAGAAACAGCCATACCGGTGTCGATACTCGAACTGTTTAATTGCGTGAAGTCACAGAGATTAATTCGAGAAACCACGAATTCTTGGATGAGAGTCTGATAAACAAGGGGATCTAACGGCGTCGAGCTCTTGGTCGAAGGAATTAAACGCAATGACTGACTACGAGTGACGATAACTATTTTAACAGATAGACAGATATTTTAACAGAATTCATCAGCTGTTTGAAGGAGAATTCTAGCGGCTGGCTGCTCTGATCGGTAGTTTTCCGTGGTTCCTCTGAGCAATACCAGGCGAATACCGCAGCAGTACCCTAGTAAACGGACCGTGCGCGATCTTTCCTTCGTCTTCCTTGTCCTAACCTCACCCCTTACTTACATTCACACTCACTTATTCGCTTATTCATACTCACATGCACTACACTACCACACTGGTCAGGAACTTAGGGCACGGGCGATACTCTGCTCTTTGGAGATACCTGGTTGGGGAAAATCTCCACAAGCCGACATAAGTAGTAGAGGAATATCGCACTCGATCACCGCCACCTACCTAGTGCCCTGCACTTTCGGAAATACTGACGTTTGCAGTTGACTAATCAATCTATCCTATGACTAATCAATCTATTACTCAATTAATTGAGAATTACTCCACGTTTGATGCCAGAAAATCGTAAAAGAGAACATTGTTACGATAAAACGAAACAGAATTTTACAGAATTAAAAAAAAAAAGTTTTGTTTGAAATACTTGGCATGATCATTGAAGACTGACGACAAAACGTTCCGTGTAGAGACCCACCTTTACTGATTTCATCCCAACTGAATGCACGTTCAACCAAATGTCATGTTGCGTGGTTACGGTGCTCACAGGTTGCCTGCTTGTGCTGCTGGTGCTGCTCGCGGCGGTGGCCAGCGCCGACGACTCGGGCCCTTTCTTCATCAAGGCTTCCAAGTCTGTTCCGCGCATCGGCCGCCGGGGCGACTTCTACATCAAGGCCGCTTCGAAATCGGTGCCCCGAATGGGGAAGAAGAGCGAAGATGGTCTCCTTGTAAGTCGTTTTGTTTCAGCTCACGCGTGTGTGGATGATATGGCGTGTTTGTTACAGGTTGGGGTAACGTGAATAGGTCGGTTCACAAAAAATACGACATATCTAAAAAAAACTATAATTTTCCTACGGAATGGTTTTGCCCTGAGCGAAGCTGTCTGCGATTTCAAAATGTGATATTTTATATACCGGCTGTGTGGTTAACAATATTTATGAAATTTTACAAGTAAAAATATACATTATTCTGAACTTCTGTTTTATTTAACAAAAGAAATACGATATCTAAAATGTATATTTTTCGTGCACAGATGATAGTCTTGTAAAATAAAAAAAGATTCTTGGATAATACTTTGAAATAGAAATTTTGAAGCGTAATTGAGAATGAAATAAGCATCAGTCATAGGCGTGCTGGGAATATTGCTTTTTTTTTAATATTTCAAATTAATTCGTGTTGAAGAACAAGGTTAATTCGTTTTTGTGTGCACAATTTTAGGGAGTCATATGTTCTTTTTACTCAGCAACATCCAGTATAACTTATTTTTTATTTATATGTCTTACAGAGGCGCTGTTTGTGTCCTCTCCGTGTACTTTTGTTTTCATTTGGAACACTGGAAGTGTGACTGTTCGTGTCACGGTCAGATTATTTTCTCCGGGGTCCTTAACTATGACCAAACTTACTGGCCCTCAAATATCAAAATACCATCACGACAAAATCATTATGATAGGGAACCCAAACCTTTACAAGTTTTAAAAATCCTTATTAAAATATTTGCAATATTTATGAAATGCATAAAGTTTTGTGTAAACAATTGTTAGGGGCCACTATCTGACGGGAGGCCCCTAATAATTCTGCATGCTTCCTCTGCCTGTGTGTTGATCCGCCCTGTGTTGGTGCGCTGCAGGAGAACAGCGGAGCAACGGCGCCGGTGGAGAATCCCAAACCCGTGTACCTGGTGCGCTACGCTCGTCGCGGCCCGGCCGAGACTCCAGGTGAGGGCCTGTTCGCATGCTACGGGTTTCCCTACGGGTAACACATTTCGGATTTTATTGTCAGCATATTTCTCTGTCTACAACGTTCCTGCCTTTTACTTACACATTGGTAATTTAGTTCACTATTCTTCCTGACTAAATACCCCGCAGATGGGGACAAAAATCGCTACCGTGACATTGCAATCAGGGAAATATACTGACAATGAACTCCAAATTGAATTACAAGTAGATCTTTGGATTAGTCTATTAAAACTGACCTTCGCCCTCACTGTCAATGAAATGGAAAGCAGCCATGACCTTTAGTAAACTTATAAGAGGATCGTACTTCCAATTACTTATATGCAATATTTCTTCTTATTTAGTATGCTGTGAGTTTTTTCAAGGTGCCGACCTGAAACTAAACAAGATTGTAACTCCTTGATACATGTGTTCCCTAAAGGATAATCACAGACGTTCAATTTTTCGAAAGATTTCGCCAAGATAATGACTAGGCACGTAATGTTTCCTTTAGCTTAAATTAGTTTCAGAACAAATTTCGCTTCATTTCGTTAATCTCTTTCCCGTGTTGCATGGAATACAATCTTTCATATAACAACTCGACGTTTCAATAAAGATTAACAGCAACACTGCGAAAACGATGTAACAAATCCGTGTCTTATTCCTTAACCTGCCTCCGTTCTCAAATCGACTCATGACACCGTGAGATCGGATAACAAAGGCGATGAAAGATATACGGGATTTCGCGGGAACGAGGGCATTCCGTAGTAGGAATGTGCGAGGTCGAACTTCGTATTAGATTTTGTGACAATGGTGTCTTTTAATTACGTGCGTTTGTGCCAAGTTTAAGTGAAGAGACAGGTTAAACAGTTTCTTCACTTCAGGTTAAACAAAGAAGAAAATATTGTACACAAAGAAAAGGTGAGAAGCACTTTGCGATGATTATTAATTTCTGAAAAATTTTTGGAGATGTTCGACTTGCAAGAGATAAAATATTATTTTGAAGCTATTTAAGAAAAAATTGCTGAACATATGCCTTAGTGAACATAGTACAACAATGCTAATGAATTTTGCTGTTGTTATTCTTGCTTTAACACTTGCTTTTATATTTTTCCCTTTCCTTTACTTTTATGCTGTTCTACTGTCATCACGACCTCGTGATTTGCAAACATTTTTGTACGTTTGATTATCTTCGTCATTTAAAAAATAGGATTGTTGGAATGCGCGAATAACGTATATTCCATACATCAGTACATGTACTAGAACTAGTAGCCGCTGCACAAAATCGCGACACTTCTTAAAAATTGTTTTTTCCAGGAGTACCGTTTTATATTTAAAGGGTCCGTTCCTTTCGCGACCAGAAACAAAGTTTTACTCATTACTTTACCTTCATCCGCCCACGCGGTCTGAAGGAGCACAAGTCCTCATGTGGACCCTTCTGCTGCCCGAGAATGTTCGTTCACGTAGTGCGTAATTCTCCATTTAATCACAAGACTGATAGCATTTAGGTCTGATAGCTTCCCATAAACAAGAACATTGTTTACCAAAACCTTGAAATACAAATCATAAAACACACTATAGTGAAAATTTGTACATTTCAAAAACATCTTATTAATAGTTGTGTGTATTCCTGCCCGTATACGACTGTTTGCAATTGGAAAACTAAGTGAAATATTCTCGAATAAATGCTAATTTGTCATTGCGCAAATCCCAACTCTAGTTTTTATGGTCTAGGATAGTAGGTCATTAGAAACTGGAAACGATTGTCGCAGACATTTGCACTCAGAATCGTTAGACCAGGTCCATTTTTGCTGATAATTGAGGTGTACAAGATGTACAAAATTACATAGCATAACAAAGGAGGAAAAAAGGGAAATTGAAAGGCGAAACCAAACTAGATTGCTAGACAGGATAATCTCCTTTAAAAAATTAATATTTTCCCAATTAAATGCGCAATACTAATAGACATTATTGGAATAATTAATTACACTTTTCTAGAGTTCGAAATGAATTCGCACTTCCACTCGCGAGGTCGGTCTCAGCCGTCCGCAACTTGTCTCCTTAAAAAGTGAACGGAAGCAGGAGAAAGGGCGAAAATGAACCGAAACGATTGTTATCTGCCGTCGAAGTGATGAATAATTAAGGAATACGGCTTAGATTACTTCCAGTCTTCTGTAAAATATCCTCCGTTATTCATGAAGGGCGATTGGATGACCGAGGTGGCTAGAGCGTGTTGCCGACTCAGGGCCTCGGTCAGAAGGGCCGCGGGTTCGAGTCTCGCCGTGGGCATGGTTGTTTGTCCCTTATCTTTCATGTATGTGCATCTCCTGCCCCCGGAAGAAAAGAAATCATGAAGGGCAGGAATCTGCCGCCCGCGCGAGTGGATGACGGTTATGATGAGTGGTACGGAACACTTAACACTGATCGAGTTCTTTTTCGCATACATTTAACACATTATTTTTCGCAATAAAAAAAGTTAATGGATAATGTTTATGTATTGTATATTTCGAACATGTAATATGAATAATTCTAAGTGACTGCTCATAAATTCTTTTTTATTCGTTTTTTTAAGTATTCGCCGATAAATTACTGTACTCGGGTGGAACAAAGGAATTTGAAATCATTTTCATTCATTTGCACATGGCTCCATAATAATTTGCATGCAGTCACGCTCTCTATAAAGACCTTATCGATGTTGAAACGTGAGAAAGGAAGATATGTCAACGAATAGGGCAAATCTTTCATCGCGTTAACTTTTTGTTTGTCAACACTTCTCTCGCATTTAAACGGTAATATGAATGTGACACTATCTTTTTACGAGAGCAGTAAGGCATTATGAGCTTTTGACCTAATATTGGTCGACTCCAAAGCTACGAACGGACAAGGCCAAGATAGCTGTGGCCCTCGAAATTCAATTCATACATTCCGTGATTATTTGTTCGCAGGGGAAAGTAAAAATAAAGCAGAAAAAAACTTGTACATATTTATTAATAAGGAAAAATATTCTGTTTCCATACTTGGCTCAGGAGTCTCCCTCAAACTACTCTCTATCTTTCAGTAGATAATTGCATTCATGAAAAAGACGCATTTGTGATAAAAACGTTAGAAATGGTCACTTAGCGAAGATTGTCTGTATTAAACAGACAATTTTCATTGTAAAATTTTCTTTCAATATTCTGAAAAAAGTTATATAAAATGCAGACAGTTTTTAGAGACTTGACTTTGTAACTGTACCTTTGAATTAAAAAGATCAGAAAGTCAGTGTTCACTCAAAACATGAAAAAATCCTAATATACAGAACAAATTAAATTAATGACGAACGTAACTTGTCCCTAAATAGACAATATACTATAATCAATTTTTACGAAACTGATATTTGTAATGATTGCATTTGGCTCACGTATTGCCTTCGGTATTTAAGATGAAGGGAAATACGAGAACATTTTCCCACATCTATCTCGAAGTATTTAAATCGTTCTCCAAATGAACTATATCCGAAGTACTCGGAGTAAAGCTGAAAAGGTCCTCCATCTTCAAAACAAAGACGATATAAATATTAGTCTATAAAATCATATTATGCCTTTTCCAAATATTGCTTTCAAATAAAATAGAGAGTTATTCATAGATCTGAAAGAGAAGTAACAATAACAGTCTACCCTAAGAAAATTTAATGCCATGCAATGTTTTAATAGCGGACTTTTCTGTTCTCTCTTCGTGTCCAGAACAAAAACAGTAATTAGATGCGGTTGCATTCTTAAATTGACCTTTTACTGAATTAATCTGCTTGTTGTTTATATGGCATCGCTTCAGATTCTGGAAGTCTGGGCAATAATTTATCTCAGTTTCTACCAACTGCAACCAAACGGAGACATTCATAAAAAAGTTTCTATTACAACGCAAATATAATTGTAATTATAGCACATATCGTGTCTTTTATTCATCGTAAAATATTATAAATGTTTGTATGACTTAAAGTGCTTGAGGTGAAGTACTATAGTAATGTGTTATTTATTTATATTGGTGGAGAGATTAATACTGTTAAATAACATTAAATGAACAGTGAAATATTAATGAAACTAAATGAGAAAATTTTATACCAAAACTTATAGTAATTATTTTTGCCACTTCAATCATGAAATTAAGCTTTAAATTTAATTGATGTAATAATATGGCAGGTGCAACGGAGAAGTCCTGCATGGCGTGTAATTTGTAGTGTTCTTTGCCGATATCCCTCCGCGGGGATGTTATTAAGGACTCCTTAACTCGGGGTACCACTGTGTACGGATTGCACCAGCTTAACTACTGGGCCTGGTCCTAAGAATGAACGACGGAATAGAAAGAAGGGGAACCACTTCGTAATTTGAAAAATTGTTTGAAATTCCGAACATAACCGAAAGAAATTAATTATCATAGGTAATACCACGAGTGCTTTCAAAATTGCCGATAAATTCCCGACTCGTGAAGCGAGGAGAGGAGTTATATGATAATTTCCAAAGCACGAGTGGTATTTAATAGGACTATTCCACGAGTGAACTTATGTTATCACACAACAATAAACAATTTCCCAAATTCTGTCGTTCTTAGTATAGAAGAAACAAGCATAGTTAAACGTTCACTACATTTTAACTGAAAAATGCCACCCCTCCAAGATGGCACCTAGGGCAAGTACTCTAGTGTCCCCATCCTCATTATGCCTCTGGACATGAACGATAATATTTCCTAGCAACGGAGGTTGAGAGAGGTTTTCTTGGTGCATACTGATAGCACTTCGTAAAAGATCATACCGTTTCTCCAAAACCTTTCAGGTTCATCTGTTTCCCTCTGACAAAATGATATCACTTGCAATATGTGTGCAGGCGCCGGTTCAGCAGTGGTGCCTCTGAACGGCAAGCGCGATGACCCTTGGGGCACCGAGGACCTCTCCTGGAAAGACATCGACCGCCTCATGGAGGAACGGCCTGACCTCTGGCGGCGAATGTTGGAAGCTCCGGCGCCACCAGCCACAGGCGATGCGGACGCGGATGCTCCCTGGCGGCGACATTTTGAAGAATGAACAACTTCCGATCCCCTCCGCTTGACTCCTCGAGCATTGGTGGGACTGAGCGAGAGAGGGCAGTTTGAACGGGCTGGGAATTCTGGGGTTTTCTCAAAAAAATTTGGAAGCAACGCGTTAAAAACTAAAAAAAAATATAATTTTAAAAATGCATCTTTTGTCTCATCGCTAGAAACTGGTTCATAGTTTAAGGTAAAGAAATGACTAGCTGAGTTATGAATACAAGTTGATGGTTTTCTATTCAAATAAGGAGAACCTTGAAATAAAGAAAATATTGTAGCTGCGTGAAAGAAATTGAGCATTAGGACAATAAACTATATTTGTAGATAAATTTTTAAATTAAATTGTCATTGACAACTTGAAATGAAAAATGTAAAATACAGTAGTATTTCGATTGTTCAATAACAATATTTTCTATATTCAGTGCTTCATTGAATGCTGGCTAGGAAAAGAAAAGTGAAAGTCTTTGAATGTTTAATATTGTGGGGCAAGGAAAATGGATTGTCAAAACGATTGTACTGATATACAGAGATTGATTGAATATGACATGAATGATTGAAGTTGAAACAGGACCAGTAATCTTGTCTAGATTGAATAAAGAAGTTAAGCATTCAGTATATTTCTAATATTTGCAAACTGCCTTATGCATGTGTCCTCATATCTATCATTTTTATTTTTATTCTGGTTTATCATTTATCAATATTTGAGTAATCAAATGGCCTGAAATTTTGAACTGTGTTTTTTATATCATCAGATAAACAAAATGTAATTGAAGTTATCGAACATTTTTGTGTATTATAGGAAGAACTTGCTTGAGAGACAAAAGTGAGAGATGGTGCGAATTGCCAATTTTTCCGGGGGGAGTTCCTTCAAAGTTTTATGAAGGATCTGTGAAATGACAAGAGAAGCGAAAACCATGTTCGCTTCCGTAGCGCACTATAAGTAAATGCTAAGAATGAGTTTGGGAATGCTTGCTTTTCAAATTTTCGTGACTTGAATTCCTTTGTTTGATCGCGTTTGGAAATCATTATCAGTGTGAAAATCATAAATAAGGCACCTAGATATGAATTGATTGCGTACCTGGCAGCGACAAATTACCTTTTACAGCAAGAAACATCGAACTCAATAGGAAAGCCATTCTTGATCTCCCGCACCGCTCCCACGCCAATTCACATTCTGTGTTATACATTTTTAATTTTAAACGCAGCGAAACTGAAATAGTTTGGAAAAGATGTGCAACGCTGTAGCTAAACTGATGAGTAGTTGAGTGGAATTTAGTTTAGAATTGTATTTTCAAAACCAAGAACAAGACATATAGTTCATAAAGTGTTACGAATACTAACGTGAGTAATAATACTTAACCGGTCTAATACATCCGGAAATACTTAAAAAAAAATTATTTCTGATAATTTATGGGCGTGAGGAATGAGAGAAAAACGATTTTCCTCTTTTGAATGAATTCACAGCCATCTAATTATATAGTACGTATAGTTCGTCGTCTACTTAGTGATTAATAAATTTCATCAAGTGAACATTTTACTAAGTATTCTCCTATATAAATGGACTGATGTGCACATGCAAATGGCAGAAACATACGAATGTTCTTTAACGTGGCCCGGTAACTCATAATTTTTGGAAGCATGCCATGGGTATCCCATTGGCCGTTCCAGGAGAATGTAGTTAGATTTGGAGGAGCAAACCTGTAGAAAAGTTAGGAGTGAGATTCATAGTGGCAAAGTCAGTTGTTTTCCAGGTTTCAGTCTGTTTATCAAGGCGTCCAGAAAAGCTCTGTTTACATTTAGCCTCGTAAGAATCTCTAAGTCCTGAGTAGTTACGTTGCTCCAATCTGGTTCATTGAGAGATGAATATAAAGTGCAAAGAATGGTTAAAGCTATAAAAACAAGATCCTAGAAACCGGGGTGAAGTTGAATGAATCTCACTCCATCTCCTTACCCACATGTAGCCTCCGGGCAGTCAATGAAGCGTTCAAAGCTCATAAAGTAACAGCAGCAGTAATGTATGCCAGGAATGATTGATAAGTGTAAAATATATTATATAATAAGAAAACTAGTTTAGTTCGTTTGATAAGACATGTTCAGTGTATGAATTATTGTTCTGAAGAAACAATATAACTCGTTAATAAAATGAGTGCAAATAATGACATGCATGTAGTGGTTTGCATCTTTTGTTGGTTATAATTGTTTACAGGTAACACGTGGTGCCAACAGGAAGCTTTAGTATGCAAATCATCTTCAGTTAATGTTACAGGAATTCTATAATCTATCTACGTAGTTAATTCTGATACAATGACAGTTTTAGCTACCAATTCTCTTTCCAAGAGTCTTCTCAGATGAACATTTGGAGATTTATGAACTGATATGTCGTTATTTTGGGATAACAGAACTCCATCTATCTTCATCACATAACTGAGATCTAAGTGAAAATGTGAATAATAATGCAAATTGACATTTAATTTTGTTACTGGTCTCCACTGCATTACGTGAGTATGTATTTACTAATTTTTATTACACTTTTGCAAACGAATGTTAAAATGTTAGTGAAATGAAATAATGTTCGAAAGTATATTTCTCATCTGACCAGATAAAAAATATTTTTTTTATAAGAGACTTTTCCTTTACGATATCATTGTCATATTTACCCATGAAATAACAACGTATTGAGATGCATACTGTACCTATCAATGTTTGTAAGTAAAATGGTGAACTAGGAACACGAATCGTATATGAGTAATATTGTTGTTTGTTGCACTATTTTACATTACATTCATGAAACTACGGGGAAAATGAGTAACTAATATTAATGGCGTGATCTTGGCACTATATAAAATATGTTCAAAATATTTGAAATCTTTCATTATCATTGATTGCAATCAAATCCCTTACATTGACTACTAAATATTAAACGGAAATAACAAACTGGTGTGGACAAACACAACTGTGACCATCAAAAGCTTATGGAATTTCACGCTACTTTTGTATACGAAATTCGCTCTATGTGTCGTGTTCTTTGCTCGCATGATTGGTTAAGACATCACAATTTCCAAATGAATAATCCATTTTCAATACAATTGCGTTCAACGCCGAATATGTTTCTGCTGTCAGTGAGAGAGGATTTCCTCTGCAATAGTAACACTGCCATCGTCTGTTAAACTCTAACCCATGCAACCAAGAAAACAAGTTTTCATACGTCTTTTTTCCTGTTTGTTTATACGATACCAGAATTATTAATTTTCGTATCTGAGAGAATACAACTTTTCTTATTTACTATATGATCTAAAGTGCTGCAATTTCTGTGCTACGAAGGAATTATTCTGTGCGTATCAGGTTCATTTTGAGCATTTTTTGAGAATAATCAGTGGCCAATGCAATTTAATGGAAAAGAGCTGAGGCTGCAAGTATAAAATATTTTCACTGTGCATTCGAATTGATTGAATTAGTTTTTCTATGAAGTATTTCGCAGAATCTAATATAAATCGTATGAATACACAATTTTCTATCTGCTACTCTTGAAGATAGTTACCGGGAAGACCATGGCTTCGAGTTCCCTAAACTTGAGCTAACAAGAGCTTATCCCGACTGAGTCGGTGCCGCTTTGGAAAAGAATAATGATGCCTAAAGGGGGGAACACACAAACACACGTATTTTTGACGTACGCGGCAGTAATTTAATTTTTGCGAGTACATGTCTGAATGCCGCATTGAATATGGGGATTGGTCTCTTATTTTTTGCTTTATGGGCATTATTGTCATGGGCGTAGCCAGGATACTCACCAGTGAGGAAAGAGGAATAAGAACTATTATGATATATTAAGTAGAAGTCACATAAAATAATGAATACAATAATAAAACTAAAAATAATACATTAAACATTTAAATTTACAAAATTAACGCAATCAAAAATTGCTTATATTAAATTGACATTTTTCACGATCAGAATTAACATTAATGTGTGATCGATGAAAATAATTTATTTTTTTAAAAACTGAAGGAATCATATATATGTATATTGACTTGTAACAGCCTTGTAACAGCCCCCGTTGGAGAAGATGACCTTCCCAGCGATCAAAGATGATTAAATTTCCCGAAAACTAAAAATATTATATATAATTTCTCTACGGCATTCCACTTGTCCTATGAAGACGCATTATTCAGTGAAAACTGCACTTCGTTATCGTGCACCGTCTACAATTTATTGGGGTGGTTCCATTGTTGGAGTTGGCGCCCGCCCCGGCACCACGCCCGCCGCCCGCCGCCCGCCCGCTCCCGCACCGCGCAAACCAGAATGAAGAGTGAAAACAAGAATGGTATAAGTGGCATATTCTAAATTTTGAGAAGAACGTGTATATTTTAGACTATATTTCCGTGGCAATGAATTTTCATGGTTATTGTGAACAATTGCAATGCCGTGGTTTTAATGATGAAAAAAAAATCATCACAACTTTACAGTATTATTAAATAAACAGAACATATACATTTACAACATCTTAACCATTGTTTTATTTTCTCAATATTACATTTTTAACAAACAAATTACAAATAAAATGTTTTTGGAATACTATAATTAAAAAAAAAGAAATTATTAAGCTATTGCATGTTTTCACGGACTTCCTGTATATATTTTAAAATTTTAGAAGCCGAAACGACTGAAGTGGAAACGAAGAGGCTTTTTCGGATAAAAACTGCAGGTTTGAGTGTCACATCGACATTGATATTACCCTTGTAATATGTTATTCATAGTGAACATCGACTCCTTATGCATCACCTTTCTAACGTTACACGAAATATCCGCCATTATATACTGTCTTTCGTGGCCGGCTCGGTTGGCGTAAGAGCGTGATAAATACATGTCCTAGTTGAACCTGGACAACGCCATTCCCTTGTGAGTTTTCCTACTAGTAACATTGTGTGTTTAGGGCCGCCTTATTGCGCTCGCTGTTGTTACTTAATTATTTTTATTGACTTAAAGAGCTATTACATAACCTCGATACAAGAAATGTTGCCAAGGGGCCATTAAATACAAATACTTACATTTTAATTGCAATTAAGCATTTTACATTTTTTACCCACCGTTATCAATTCATAACAAAATTATTTTCATGTCATTTCATTTCCTTGTCATGTTCATAATAAAATTTACCAAACATTTAACTATGGTAGCGTCATACATGGCCAAAAAAGGAATATTATGACTTTTGCAGGCCCAAAAATATGTTCAATTGTCCCACTAGCTTCACCTAAAGCACATTTATTCGGCGCTATTTCAAGGAGTATACAGGGTGGAATAACTAAGTGATAACACTCCTTGTAACTCCTCAATCGTGCAAGATGCGAAGATGCCAAGATGCCGCTTCGACAGTCGATTGCAAAAACTGGGGCTACTTGATTACAACATACTTCGTCTTTGCACAGTTTTGTACTGCGAAGATATAAGGTCAACTTTGTTTTGTTTTTTATCTGAACCCTATGATACATTTTAGTGCATTGTAATGGGCTTAAAAAGGCGATTTCAAATATGTGTACTTCCTTGTATTTAAGCGAATCGTTTGTTTAGAAATTGATGTTTCTGTAACGTATTTTTCGACCGAAGCGGCGATTTTCCATTCGACCTTTCCTGCTAACTTGGCGAGTCTGTCCTTCAGACTAACGCGCACGTTTATTTGAACACAGAAACAAGTATTGCACGATTTATGCATGAAAACAATTGAGCTTGTACGTAATGTTTATTGCAGAAATCTTACAGTTTGACTAAAGCGTCTCGAGCGGCAGAATCTTTCGCTTACGGATTATGTGCCTGACCTGACGGTAATCGGCAATTTTGATTTTGTGGTTAGGTGTGTCACGGTGCGTTTGTGTGAAGTGATATTGTGATATAGTACCTCCTTCCCTATTCCCGCCTTCTTATTTTTCTTCTATATGCTTCTCATGGTTATTTAATACTTAATAAAGATCACACAGACTAACGTACAGAAATACCGCCACTGAAAGTAGTCGGACGGTGCAATTCAGTTGTTTTCCGGTATAACGGTGTTTTGTGGCGATTCGTAAAGAATTAATGCACAATACACACAGACCGCGTATGCGCGACTTTTGGCTTTTATACTTCTAGTTTGAGATCTTAAAGTTTCTGTACATAAACTATACGAGAATCTGCACGAAAACTGTATCGTGTATACCGGCCTCAAAGACTTTTCAATATTTTTCGAATATCCTTCACAGTCTAGATTATGCAGTTCTTTACAATTTGGGGAATCATAAATACCAGTATTCTTGAACCAATGCTTATTTATTGTCTTGTTTCTCCTGATTCACGACTTTCTTGGCATTATTAGGGTTTATGATCCTTACTTTTCTTTTTATTACCAGAATTTCTTGTCCACCGAATCATAATTGCCTCCTGATGCTGTTTACATCTTGTTGCTCTCTCATATTCAATATACAACATTCGGAACACCGTGATATTTGTAGTTTCCAACATTTAGAGTTATGTAATGTAGTTATGTGCCCTCCATCCACAAAACGGGACAACTATTTTCGATCACTACAAACACTCTAGTTCGGAAAACCGCGCGACTTCAACTCTCGAACTCATTTCCCGCCTATAGAGGCCTCCGAACCACAGCTGGTGCTATCTAAGTGTGTCCGTGTGTCCCCTTATGCCTTTTAATACTATACCAAGTTGGAAGGGGCACGCGGTTTCCGCTTGGATATCGAAAACACCTAGAGTACGAAGGCCAACAGGCAGGTTATGAAGGCAACGTCAACAAGAATTTCTCTGTCCAAAAATCGCCGATTTTCGCAATTTGTATAATTACAATTCTCTCTATTTACTGAGTATGAATTAGAGCGAGAAAACAAAAACTCATCAATGCGTTTCTCATATTACAGGTAATAAATAATTCCTTTACCATTTTATTTTCAGAAGTGTAGATTCCAGAAGACAGGGTTTGGGTAATTTTCTTATTTTATCGCAGTCTGTATGCCACTGGTAACTCATGCGCATCTCCAAGAATCGAAGTGCTGTTGTAGACTTGTGGGCCGTTGCAGACAGCCAATTTTAATTATTTACAAATTTGTATTTCTTTGTCATTGTATGCTAAAAAGACGATTTTTCTTCTGCGATGTACTTAAAATATGTTCAGTCATTTGACTCATTTGAAGCACTACCTTCTAGGGAAGAGGGAAGAACAGAAATTATCAAGAAACTTCTGTACAGTAACAAACTTCTCATCAAAATAGCATAAGAACCACTTGTTCCTCTAATTAAGAAGAAGACATTGGTGTGTTTTTTTCCACCTGAAATGACTCATTCTGTTTATAGTTGTTCTAGTCGCCATAAATTGGACTAGGAGTGAATTTCCTGGAAGCGTTTAACTAGTAAAATTGTTTTTAGTCTTTTCGGTACATACACTTCCTGTTTGGTTATAAAATGTTTTATCTACCTTCTCTTTGCTATTAGTTTAATTATAGACCATAGTGATCTAACGTTACAATTTGTTTCATTTCGTTTTGATATTCAGAATAACGGGACTGTTTTAGTCTAGCTTTAATTATTGCGGTAATTAAAACGATTTTATGTAAACTTTACATTATTTTATAGCAATTTACAGAAAAACGCCTGATGTCCATTTGATGTACGCTCATAATCTTCATTAAGGGGCCACTTCAAATAATGGCCAATCTTCTCCGCAAAGTGTATAATTCAGTTACTAGGTATATGACCCAGAAAAAGATTCCGGAATTTTTGCCCCCAGCAGTTCTAAGTGTTTTTAGAGACAGACGCTGCAGGCGCCCACTGCGAATCAGTTGTTGAGGTTTT